TATGTCACTCCCAAATCTTTGGAACATTTATTAATTAGTGGCCATTTACCGATTTCGGGTGATCAGCAAAGCACCATAATTATTGAGCATGTTGATCGTGTGAAAGCAATTTATCCCATAGATCTGGTGTGAGATCTGAAAACATTTCCAGAATAATTTCAAAACATTTCTAATTTATTACACTGAGATGGTACAGCACAACGTTTAGCAGTACTTTCCTTCCTCCCTCTCCGCTTACTGCTTCAAAGTTTTTAAAATTACCTTCAAAGCTTCTTCTATCAGCTGTGTACTTTCTTCCAGCCTTTTTTCATCCCGGTGACGAACCTGTAAAGCTCAATTTTAGCAAGCAAGATGTAGAACGTCAAACAGTTAAAGCTGAACTACTGCCAGGACAGATTTTTATTTTAATAGTTACCAATCATGCGCAATCGCTACTTCGTTAGTGGTTGCAAAGTTTATAGGATGGTCCCTTGAGTGTTTGCAACTGAAACTCCCAGTCGGTAAGATACTCCTTTTCCAGCCTAGCAGCGGCACGACATGATAATGCCTAGCACATACCAAGGAAATCTCGAAACGGGTGAAGCTCTGCTAAGTATTGCTGGAGGAATCGCACTGGTTTTCTCTTCGGCAACAATCTGATCAATAGGCGATGCAGCTAGTACCAGTTTTGTGGATTACAGCTTAACTGGGTATTTCAAATAAGACACTGAAAGACAACTTACAATGAAATGTGCATACTGCTCGAGACAAAGGCCATACAGTGCAAGGGGATCCGTGAATAAATCTCCGTACTGGTTGATTACTTGTGGAACATCGTAGGCCCCTCCGTAAGTTATCGAATATTTCGCCATATGCTTTTCCACAACCTTAATTAAACATCATCGAGATCAAATCATCGCTGTGCCGCTAAATCCACTATTATTTTGCTGCCGGTATTTAGATTCTACTCAAAAAAAAATGACCTTAGCATTTTTAGCTGCATTCATACCGAAAACTACGTTCTTTTTGAAGCATAGAAAAAACGTAATTGAATTTTCGGTTTTTTTAACGTTGTTGAAAGAACTGTTTCGTCTTAAGCTGATTTTGCTTTTACTGTTCGCAACTGCTACCATAACATAAACACAAAATGCAAGGAGCGAAGGAAGGGAATCAATGTTTTGAAGTTCCAATTTAATTCGAATGCTATTTATAGATTCCTCGAATGACTCATTTCCTTTAGTGAATCCTCTTCGATGATTTTAGGATCTGTTCATTACTGAACAAGATTGCGAATATTCATTTCGCGACATCAAGCCGCCAAAACGGTGAGGAGGGAAGGTTTGAAAATATTTTTTTCAGTCTCTCGAAGAGTGATACCTTTGCATTTTGCTATGAAGTGAGGAAGAGTAAAATCGTGCGTGTCTAGTGAAACAATATGAATTACAGAGAAAACTTTCAATAAAATCGGTCAAAACTTTCACACAG